CGCCAAAAGTATTATATAGAACCTTTTTGCTGTGATAATAAAAACATAATCTTGACAATTTATAACCTAACGACGCAACCTTTCGTTACTTTAAAATCGCTTTTGGAATTTATCTTTTAACTTCCTTTGAGATATGTTTTTGGTTTTAAATAAACCGTATTTAATAAATGATTACTGAAAACAATCTACTTTATATTGAATCAAATTCAATGTAGCAGTTACGTTATCAAAGGGAAATAATATAAGGTATTTCTTACACCATATTAAGGCGAAGAGATGGCGCATAAGTCCATATATTTGCTCAATAGCGATTATATAACTTTCTTGGAGGCGCGAAAATATGGAAGCGTGGGGGACTTCGCCGAGATTTGATTTAAGACTTACCGACGAACAATTGGTGCCGTATTTTAATAAAAGGGAAGGATTTAATCCGTTTTGATCGTTTTTTCACAAGCTAATATTTTTACACGTCAGATAAGTATGTTAAAGATATTTTTTTTCTTAAAACAAAAGAACGGTTTTTCGTTGTTATATTTGTTTCGATTTAGTGTCAAGAGTCATTAGTTTTCTCTATAAAACAAAGGTAAAATGATTTTAATATAATTATAGTACGAAATTAACGGTGCATCAATTTTCGTGAATATTAAAAATTTAAATATAAAAAAGTATTTATGGCAAAGAAATTCTTTACAGTACATAGGTAGAACTGACATTACTTTTTAGGGTTCGCACCACGAAAGGAAAAAAAACAGTACCCTCATAGGATCACATCGTTGTCCGTCCGTCTGTATGTCAAGATCCTTTTTCTCAGGAACGCATGAAGGTATCAAGCTAGAATTCCATTTTAACTAACTTGTAACATAGTATCTCGAAGAACATAGACTAGAAGTGATAATGCTAATAATTAGTAATTTCTTATAATATACTTGAAATATACTAATGAAAATTAATTAAACGAATGGAAGTATTTTATAAGATTAAATGATTAATTAGATCTCGCATAAAAAAAACTAGGATCCAGACTAAATAATTAAACACACAATATAAAGATAATACTACCAGTACTCAATACTATCACATATTATAGAGAAAATTGTTCGTTCTAGTAACACTTAATTTTACATGTTGTTGAGGGGAGAAAGGGGGATAGTGGAACACGAGGCGGCGCAGCTGGCAGCCGTCCGAGCGGACGTGGCTATACATAGCGCGCCCTAACGAAATACAAAATACCATTATTCTTCTCTAAAGACAAGGAGGCGTTCAAGCAATGTTATTTACAACCAGATTTGTTCCTCACGCCGACGTACAGCTAAACGTTATTGTTTCCTTTTTCGAAGAAAACACGTTGGAATAAACCTGTTTACGACAGTTAATTGCTCAAGCCTTTCTTGGAAGTATTAAGTAATTTAATAAAAAAAACTTATAATTTCTCCTCAAAATGTAGATAATCATTTTATTGTGAAAGAAAAAAAAATAAACAGACGGATTATTTACCTCTGTGCGTTTACGACATAACAAAGCAGAACATTCGCATCTTAAAAATGGCATTTAACTGATTTAATTATCAAAAGTGTTTATAATTTCAGCGAAAATTAATAAATAATTTATTATTTAGGTTATGAATCGAGCGGGAATGGAATTGTAAACAAATTTCTAAGTTTGTCATGTTGTACTTAGCTTAATTTGTTATTTACATCGCATTAATATAAATATCCAACATAAACAATTATAAAGTTTAGTAAACAACAAAAACATTTGCACCTCACATACAGAAAGCTTAGCTTTTTGCCTTACGAGTCGTATAACTGAGATAGATCTAAAAGAACAGTCGCTCGAGGCGCCGTGCCGGATGGTAAAGGCGCCAAATGCGAACGACAATTTCAAACGAAAAAGTCGGAGCTACCTTTTGATATGCACTCACGTTATCTTGCAGTTCTCTGTCTCCTGAGTTCAAGAATGTAATAATATAATCTATACTTATTTTTAAAGAGACTTTTGATTCTATTTATTTAAGTACTTCCCTAGTTTAGTAGATCAATGCAATTTTTATAATAAATATCGAAAATTAATAAGCGAACTTACGTTTTAAAGTAGAAAAATTTAAATACATTGTACTACATCTAGATATTGTTTTTAATTAAATTCATTATAAACAATGAAATAAATAAGAGGCCTCACTACTTACCTTAAGAGTCGATTTTTACTTTTTCTACTTTGGCTTCAATAACAATTGAATATTAAAGAACGGAAAAAGATATTTGAGTGGTCTAAAACCGAGTCAATTGTGTTTTGTAGTACTATAATTAAAGTTGAATGAAGGTAGTTAAACCACAATACCATAGCCTCAACATACAATAAAAAAAATCAGCGACCTTAGGTCTCGAGAAATAAAGAGCACTCGAGTTGAAATAGGTTAAACAATCCACTCGTTCCAACGATAGGGGAAAGTTAATACAAAAGCGATTCCTCTTATTGTTCAAAAACAAATAAGAATTAGGCCATAAAAACTTTTGCTCGCGTACTCTATTGATATCTAGTTTATAAACTTGTACGGTTCAAACCTAACCTAATTTGTACTCTAAGAACCCGCTGCTGTTTTCTATTAACAAGAACAAATAACAGTAACATAAGATTTCTTATATTATTATAAGAAGAAGGAAGTCAGAGTTGATGTTTTTAAATATCCATTTTGTTGATGATTCTTAAGATGCAATTTAACTTGCAAATGCGCAGCTGGTCTATAAGAGCATTCTTATGCATATATTGTGATTTAGTGGTTTTATTCCACTTTTACAATTACAAAAATGTAATACAAATTGATATACACTATATTCAAGTGAATATGAATGTTCTTTGAGACATTCAAATGGATGGTAAGGGTTCGTTTGCCATTAGAAGGGACTTATTAATTTCCCTTTCGACAGGCCGACCGAGGAGGCCATAAATTCACCTCAACCAAAGGGATGACCAATTTCAGAACATTTACGAGCCACAAATTACGCGACCGCTAAAATATACTGGACAACAGACGCTGAATGAAGGCCAAGTTAAAGGCGAAAAAGCTCGAATGTTAATTTGGTCCAGTAAGAATACCTTAAATTTAAAATGTTGTACAGTGACGTTAAAATTAAATTCTCTATTCCGTAACGATTACTAGCAATAACAACATATCGTAATTGCAGTAATATTTTTATTCATTCTAATTCAATCACGTGAACCTATCTGAGAAGAAATTCAAAGATATGTGTGAAGTCAACCAACCCGCACTTGGCCAGCGTGGTTGACTATGGCCTAATCACCCTTAACTTAGGGTAGGCTCTGAGCCCCTCGGTGGGGACGCATAGTGAGCTGATGATGATGATGACGAACCTAATGTTTACTATACTTAAAAACAAAACACATGTTAATTTTCCCTAATATAATAATTAATATTAAGAAAAATAAAAAAGCCAATTGTTTAAAATAAGAACACATTTTTATGATTATTACCATACCATAAAGCTATTGTTTTATATACACAATCACATATATTTTCTTACTAATACGAATACACAAAAATTTATGATATAGGCTACTTCACGGCTTGTAAGACTAAGTTTTTGCGCGTAACAAAAATATTAAGTACATAATATATTTATCTATTTTATTGTAACAATAAAAAGTATGAAGAAACATTCAGTAGGTTTATGGTTTAAATGGTACTTTTATTTGTTCACGTCGATATATCAAATCCAGTTTGGTAACGTCGTGTGAGCTAACTGTTTTATCACTTTATTGCATGAGATCGCATAAACTTGCCAAGGCAACGGTAATAAAATGTTACTATAGTCATATTTTCGCGTAGAACCGCTCGTTTCTAAGATTAAATGGTAGGAAAAATATATTATGAAGGTTTATTTAAAACCCTTTTTACACCTTTGTATATCCCAAAAAGGGCTACAATAAATCTAGAATCCTTTGGAAACTGTTGGAACACTTTTCTGTCTTACATCTTCAAAGTACACTTCATTACTTAACCAAAATCTGGAAGCTGATCTACAGTTTTGAAAACTTATTGTGGACGTCGAAATGTCACGGTTGCCATTTAAACATACGTATTTAATATTAACTGCTTGACAATTTTTTATTAAATATTGGTATAAAAAACTTATAATATCTTGTGTGCCAACCTTATATAAGTGAGATATGATGATGGCGTATAAAAGTTAACCAAGTTTGTAATTAAGGAAATCCTTTAACGTTAAAGAAGCCAATTAGATTTTATTTATTTTCAGAATTTAAGCGTAAATAAAAGTACAACAGCTATAAATATACAACAGCCTCACGGACCATTTCGGTTTTATATTTATCCTCACAGCACATAAAAGTTCTCTATAAAATATTTATTTACGAAAAGATTACGTTTTCAATTCGCAGGAGGAAAATTTTATATGTATTACTACTAATTGACAACGTGCAGGTGCTACCGTGTTAGAACTTCTACTTGTTAAAATTAAATATTCATATTCTTTATTCGTACTTTATTTGAATTGTTCATCCTACTCTAGCAAGTACGAATTACGTATGTAGGTGGGAGAGGGAAAGAGAGAGTCAATTTCCAAGTTGCAAATGAGTCTGCGAGCCGGACCCGCAATATCTCTGTCATGGCTAGCCGCACGTGAAAATTAGATTTCATTAGCTTTGCTGCATAAAACCGGCCAGTGTTCAACCTACGCTTCATGTACTTTCTGATGTAATATTATAGTCATTTTTTATATATTAAATAAAGACATTACTCGTGTATATTATTTGTATTTATTTGTAGTTTAAAAAAAAGTTATTAAAAGGAGTCCACGTCATTATTTCAATGTCTTAAACTTTTCATACTTCAGTAAACTGTATCGTTGCTTATTGTTTCCAGTTGAAATATTTGTACGAGACTATCAAGGTACATCTACTAAGACCAATTATTGCTACAAAAGTACAGCAAACGTGTGAAAAATGTACGTTAAATTCCTTACCTTTAATGAAGACTCATCGTGACGCGTATCTCTCAAAAGGTCGTAGAGGATACAAAGTGGTACAACCATTATCCCCGGCTCCTTGCAAAGCGTGGCAGCAGTCGCAAACAAAAGTGTTCCCGCTAACGTGAACCACTGCATGAGTTCATACGAATACGCACTTACGTCACTGTTACACTGACACTTTTTTAACTTCAGAGTACCAGAATCGACATCGCACGTTTTCATCACTGGTGTCCCAATTTTACTAGCTTTCAGAAGCTTTCGAAAATTTGTAGCTATCTGTTCGAAAAATCCATGGCAACTGAATCTTAAAATTTGTACATTAATTGACAGTTGTCGATGTGTTAAATCTTTATTGATATGCCGGCATGGCTTCCTTTGATGCTCATTCCTTAGTCTCGAATGTTCACAATAAAGTAAAAAACTTAATAGGAAAAAGTTGCACGCTGCTAAATCCGCCCGCCCAACTACGCCGGCTACAGCTTCTGTGTGTATCGGATGAGCGGCGAAACTTAGGCCGGCTACTGCGCTACCTACTCGAGTGCAGTAAGCAGGTAGCAGCCGGCGCGCTGTCGTTACCACCAGGGCTGTCGCCACCGAGTGGAACAATATATTCAGAAAGTGATAACTCCATGGCTTGAATCCACTCAGGGCATAATTCAGTCGGTACGAAGCCACACACAAAGGGCGGTACGAGCCGTGCGAGCCGGGATCCGTGAGCGGTGTTCCCCAGAAATCGTTTTCAAATAAAGCCTTTATTGGAGTATGCCCGATGACGTCCGGGTTGGAGAGGATCGCCCGTCTGTGAAATAAAATTGCAACTTTAGATCCGTTTTATTCGAATAGAATTTACAAATTCAATGTATCTTTTCCCAGAAAACATGGGTTTAATATGCATGTTACAGTAAATGAACGTTTTCGTTCTATTATATTTTAAATTGTTATATAGGATGATTTTAAGTAAAACCCTCTCTTACTTCTTACTAATTTTACTAATGTTAAAAATGTGAATATTTAGGTGGATAAATGTATAGATGGAAGTTTGTTTAAAGTTATCTTTAGAACGACTGAACGGATCTTGATGAAATTTGGCATACATAAAGAAAGTAGTCTGGAAGAACAAATAGGATACTAATTATGTTTTGTTTTTTAATTCTGCACGGACGCAGTCGCGGGAGACAGCTAGTAATTATATAAATCAAAGAACAAAGTCAACTTCTTTCTACAATCACTCCATAGTTTACAGACCTTGGGTATAATACTAATGTGTATTATGACACAAATACAGACTCATAAATAACTATTATTAGATATTTTTATTTCCTCATCCACATATTCTTTATAATAAGCTTATTATAAAATTCATGTCTCATTCATAATATCAATGTTCTGAGACATAGACTAATTTATTAGTAACAATAAAAACTTTGGTAGTTAAACAAATCCGTCGCCTATTATGGTAATTTATACTAAATAAATGTTTACGTTTAATACTCATAATACCGGGAGAAAAGTTAATATACATTCTCTCGATATATTGAAATTTCTTCATCGTAGGAATATTAATATTGTGAGACGGGTTCTTAAGAAAATTGTAAATTAAACATGTTTTAGTTGCGGGAGTGCAGTGGATGCAGGCGGCACAGGAGCGGGCATTGTGGCAATCGATCGGGGAGGCAAATGATGATGATGGTGATGATGATAATTATGATATTATTATGAACATAAGAACAGACCGTAGCATGAAAAATCTGTCTCCTAAAATTAACAACTTTTTTTGATTCTTTAGGTTGATTCTGGTTCAAATACTCCTTTACCACAATTGACTATAAGCAACTTTCCAAATGTTCAGTTTTTATTTACATGACAATAGTACATTTCTAAACGTTGTGACTACGAAAGGCTGCGAAATTGAGCTGTGTCATTTTATGACTGTAAATGTTAAAAAGCTAAAAAAATTACAAATGTGAAAGTTCAAATGGGTGGATCGAATGATTATATTTTTATCTCCAGAACGGCTAAATTATTCTCTATTAAATTTGGCTTAGATGAAGAACATATTCTGGGAGAATAAATAGGCTACTTATAACGTTTTTTTTAATCCGCGTGGATAAAGTCTCGGGGAAAAGCTAGTATGTTATAATATCGTATAACGGTGACAGGCGGTATGAAAATCCGTTGCATTCTGTTGGAAAGTATTTAAGCAGTGAGTACGCCTGCGGCCTCACGTCCTCCTATATTTTCCCGTAGCGTTGATTAAAAAACTTTGCCTTCAATGTTTTTGTTTGCGCCAACATTCTGTTATTTCAATTTATAAACACGCACGTGCAGGTAATGATTAGTATTAACTCTTAATAAATATGTAAAATATTCAAATCTAACAGAAATTCCATCACACATCGATAAAAGATTTTTAAGATTAAAAAAATGATCCAATTCTTATTTGAATTAGTAGTACCAGAAACCTCAAGAACATATAGATCATAAAGTCATTAATTATTTAACGGACTGATAATATCGAAATAAGTCTACTAAACTAAAGTAAACGCTTCAAGTCACGACTTTCATAATATTCTAAAAAAAATTCAATCTTGAAAAAAGAACTAAACTAAAAAGTCAGGATAAAACCTTAAACAATTTGAAAATTTTCCAGCAATTGCCTTAAGCCATCGCCAAGCCCGCGTTTAATGCCTACCTCATCGCTTTATCTATTGATCCCTCATACATTTTATCCCCTTCATCTTAGATTTGGAGTGGAGAGCCAGTGAAAAAGGCGATTGAATAATATATTTTTATGGAACCAAAACCGTGCTTACCATGCGAAGAAGGAAAAATCATCCGAACAATTCGGCCATTGTGTTGCAAATTGTAAGAGCCTTTTCCTTTACTTATAAACATAAAGTTCTCGCCGAATGAATTACCATTTTAGAATATTTTTAGCTTATTACCAAGTTAAGAATATTTTACGTTATTTTTAACTTTAAGTGTTTTCTTAAAGTATAATTTTTATTTTATCATGTAACACAAATGTTTAACTGCTACTAACATAAACTTTATTTACAGAACCCTAATTTATAACTAAACATCTACTTGTACACATGTTATATATTTAAATATACTGAATATATAGCTGTAATCCACTATACTATCAAATAAACTGTTATGATGGTACAGTCAGCTACAAAAATCTGTATATACTTATAAAATTTAAGGAACTTGAACAAGCAATTGGTTTTAAAAATGTATATACGTGTCCGTTCATATGCTTCAGACTTCCATGAATATTATTAACGTATACTTGCATACATATTTTTTGAATCCAAGGCCTGTACAAGTTTCTAATGTTTTGCAAATATATATTTATGCAGCTGACTGTACAAAGTGTACAGGTTCTATCAGCATCAATAACGTAAAATTCAATAATAACAAAAATATACTTAAAGCTTTATAAAATTCTTTTTTCCCAACTTCAAACTATTATCATTGGAAAATAAAGAAGAAGTTAGATTGAGATAAAGTTGGCACTAGTATAACACTCTTCGCAATGAAAGTTGGGGCCAGCTGTGGCGTAGAGTCGTCACGTAAGCCCTCAATTACGAAACACTGAAGTGGTTTGCAGCGCTACGGAACAAAGTTCATCCATTCTTTCATCATTACCGTCCGTAATATGTTTAACAATCCAAAAGAAATAGACCTTTCTTTTTCTTCACTCGATAATCTATAAAAGTCAAAGTGTTTTTTGTTATTATAAATCAATTTGTTATTCTGTATTGTATATTTTTCTTTTATAATAATTTAAGTACAGCATTAAGAAACAGCTTATCATTATTTCCCCTTTATTTGCTTTTACTTACATCTTTTTAATATGTTAGGATCAATTTTAATCGTAAATTTTTGTTTTTAATTTTTTTGCGTCTATTCAAAGCTTCGAGAGCCTTCCTAATATTGGTTTAATACTTCGCCATTGTAGTATAAAGTGCCTTTATCCATTTCACTACGTTCTTCTCGTCTTAAGTGGCGTTTAGTTGTAAGTATGAAAAATAAGTTGAAAGATTTTTACTTTGTAATTCTCAAACGTTTTACAGACTTAAGTACTTACTTATGTTATATACAAAAATATACAAAGGGTATACAGATATTAAAAGCCTTTTAAAAAATCATTCTGGTAAATACAAATATCTAATCTTATTATATTACTTTTGAAAATATTTTCAAATCGCAAAAGAAAAAATTACGCTACGCTTTACTACGGTTTTGCTACGGATTCTCTTGTAGAGGTAAACTTTGAATACCCACAGCGTATCGTATTAAGTAAACTAATATTAAGCTCTTCACAACTCAAAACAGTTCGACTCAGTGGTTTTGGACTTAAAAGCCCATGTTATATTTAAGTTAGAACGGTAAGTTGTACCGATCAAATTTCAAACAAGGTATCGGATAATTTGGCCTAAATAGTATAGAGGATAGTATAGATTAAGTGCGTCAAGTATTTATATGAATTTAAATTACTATGAGACACTCTCAGCTTTGTTTGATATCCGAACCTGATTTTGGGATGAACCTCAAATCATACACACATAGCAGCTTTACTCGCTTTCACAGAATGCAAGAAAACCGACACAGTCCAAAATGTCCAAATTAGTGTAGTAATGTTTAAAGGGTAATTTATCAACCTCAGCAACCAAATGATATTTATGTTTTTTTACTTTTTAGTGTTCCGTACCTCGAAAGAAAAAAAAACGGAACCCTTAAAGAATCAATTTGTTGTCCATCCGTCTGTCTGTCAAAACTCTTTTTTATTAGTACTACGAAGTGTATATTTTTATAAAATTATATATGGTTCTTGGTTCTTACTTTACAAAGTCCTTAACGATCCAGATTTAACAACATTGACTTATTGATTATATTAATTTCATGTACTCGGCGTTCGAAATTGTTTTTCAGAATTCCATTAAACAATTTAGATGTAATGTATACAAGTACATATGACATGTAATCTCGAACTGTGAAGATGTCTATTTCGATATAAATTGCACTTGAATAGATAAGCACTGCAATGTATCAATTCAATCTAATCAACATCCATGTGACCATAAGGCTTAAACTGAACTGATATGCTCGATCATGCAAATTGCACAGAAATAGATTTAAATCAAGGATCACTTTCCTCGGACATTCTGTGTAATATGAAAAATAATATTAAACACTAGCTGTTACCAGTGACTTCGTCCGCGCAGAATTAAAAAAAATAGTAGCCTTTGTGTTCTTTCAGACTATGTTCTCTATGTATGCCAAATTTCATCGGGATCCGTTCAGCAGTTCTGGTGATGCCTTGAAACATCCATCCATCCATCTAAACATTTGCATTTATTAATATTACTAGTTGTCGCCTGCGACTCCGTCAGAACCAAATTAAAATAAAACTTAATAAGTAGCCAATGTGTTTTCCAGGCTATGTTCTACATCTATGCCAAATTTTAGCGAGATCCATGGTGCTGTTCTGAAGATACCTTCAAGCAAACATCGGTAGTCAGAAGTAAGATTAACGCATGATGATGGTACAGTAGCAATACCAAGCAAAATCTAAGTTTAACTTTATACGAATAAATATGAAGATGAACTACGGAGATAGTTTTTCAATAATATTTATTAAAAACTATTTATAATATCATAACAACGTTAAGATGTGATTTTAACTTGAATTTTAGTTTTAAAAAATTATGAGAAGGGAATCATGAAAAGCAGCACCGTTTTTAAATGTTTTAAGTGTGCTGAAGGTGAATTAAGATTAATTATTCTTTGGGTCTTTCACTTTCTGCTCGACTCTGGAATAAACACAAATATACTTAGGGCAATGCCCTCATCTCAACGGCCAATGGTTAAACTTGATTTAAACTTTTAATTCAATTTAATAGTAACTTAATTTATTGTCTCCAATAAGCATACATGAAATTACAAATTATTGTTATAATTTGGGAACGTATTTGCGTATTGCAAGATATTGGAAAAAGTAACCAGCGTCAGATTTTCCGCCATCTTATAATGTGTGTGCCGTACAAAGTAGACTAAATATGTATTTAGTAAGCTAATGGGCACCGTCTTTCTGCATCTCAACCACATCACCACAGAAAATCAGTTGTTCGTCTCCTCATTCAGGTCTGTAGAAGTGTGTAGTGTAGTGTGTAGTATCTTACTTTTGTTCTACAATTTTTTAAATTACCTGTCGTCATAAACAAATCCGGCGTCGAGCGTGTTATAGTACAAGAGGAAGGCCAACAATGCGCTGGCCGCCGTGACCCACTGCTCCATTGTGTTGGCTCCGGTGCGGGCATCAGCGGTGCTTTACTCCCACCTCTGTAACAACATCTGTGTTAATCACCAAAAAAAATATTCCTATTAGAATCAGTCTACGCCTATCTTGAAGTTAGAAGTGTGATGATAAGCTTAATGGTTGCTTAAAAAGTCCCTTAGTGCAGATTACTTACTATTTCTTGGGACCATTTAACAACTTTTGAATGCGTTACTAAGGTATTTCCTAAAACTATAGTAATTTTCGGTTAAATAAACGAACAATTTTTTTAAAAACTAAAAAAAATTGAAATATTTTTTACATCATTAATAATTTTTACCTTTATATCCAATATACCTATACTGGATTATTTGATTCAAAACTTAGTCAAAAATATGGAACTCATATGTTGTTAGTACGTTTAAAAACAGTAACTATTATTTTCCCAATCGATGGTCAAACGTGGCTGCTATATGTTTGTTTATTTTCTATATTCCTTAGCGTGAGTATACCTTCCGGCTAAAGCTTACAGTTGCACCGGAAGAAACTCGGTGAGGTCGTCGGGGCGGTGGATATTAGTTTTATTTCAAAACTGTGTAGTGATAATAAAAATATATCTTGCCGTTTATTTATCGTATTATATGTCGATCTGTATTTTATATTGTATTGTAGAATAACTAAGAAATAAATTTAATACTAAAAGTAAAATAGGTCTTATTGTACGCTTATTAAAGATGCTTTTCGTTTAGATTATCCGTCGCCCCTTTAATACTTCTCTCAAATGCTAGCAGTTCTAGAGTGGTCTCCAATTCCTCTTCAGTATATACCTTAAGTGGATATTTTAAAACCAGGCGATTATATTAGTACGGCTTAAAACTAGATAATACTCTATGATTTAAAATATAGTAGAGCTAAGCTTATGTACCAAATAAGAGATGTTCATCTTTTCATTTACTACAAACCTATCATCAGTTCACTATACGTTCTCACCGAGAAGCTCGATCCCTACCCTAAGTTAAGGGTGATTAAGCCATAGTCAACTACACTGGCCAAGTGCGGGTTGGTTGACTTCACGCGTATCTTTGAATTTCTTTGCAAATATGTGCAGGTTGTATCACGATGTTTTTCCTTTACCGTAAGAACGTCGGATAAATGTACATATGTAAATCGAAAAACACATTGGTACATGGCGGGATTCAAACTCAGGACCTGCAGATTAAAAGTCAAGTGCTTTAACCCCTGAGCAACCGATGCTCCTATGAATTCATATTAATCGGAACTGTATTATAAATCATATTAGTATTATAAATATTTGGATGGATGGATAGATGTTTGTTTGAAGGTATCTTTAGACTGGCTGAACGGATCTCGATAAAATTTGGCATATATATAGAACTTAGTCTGGAAGAACACATAGGCTTCTAATTATTTTTTTAAGGCTGTGAGGACGGAGTCGATAGCGACAGCTAGTGTTCGATAAGACTACGACATAAATTCCGACATTAATATCTGTATTATTTACTTATGAATCAAGGACTCTCTTGAGTCTCGTGTTCGTACAGAGACACATGTTTACTTTAGTGTCGTAGTCATTAAAGTTTTGGTTATCCAACACATAATGATTACTTCAATTTTCTAACAACCGAGAACTTTGAATTAATTGCTCTAAAACAACTGCAATTAATAGGATAGGCAATATAAAGGTAAACAGGTGTACAAACTGATATATATTCTAATTAGAGTGGTCTATCATTATGCAAATACAAACGGTTAATAACTATAATGAAAGAGGACAGAACTGACGTAATATATTCGGA